CCCCCCCCCCCCCCCCCCTTTTTTTTTTCTTTTTCTTTCTTTTTTTCGGGTTGGAGCGGAAAGTTTGCCATTTGTCGTTTAGAACAGATACGCTGCCTACCGAATGCCTGTGGTGTTTGTTCGCATAATGAAAGATTTATTTATATATATATACTTTTATTATGCTGATTTTTCTTTTAAGTCCGCGGAGGTACGAAAAACACACAGGCATTATATATATTTATAATTTATTTCAGGTACTTATATAGCGCCGTCCATTTACACAGCTCTTTACATATATATATTGTACATTCACATCAGTCCCCGCCCCCGAGGGGTGTACAATCTAAGGTCCCTAACTCACATTCATACATACACATACTAGGGCCAATTTAGACAGGAGCCAATTAACCCACCAGCATGTCTTTGGAGTGTGGGAGGAAACCGGAGTACCCGGCGAAAACCCACGCAGGCACAGGGAGAACATGAAAACTCAGGCGGAAGTGCTAACAATTTAGCCACTGTGCTGCGCATATATATATATATATATATATATATATATATATATATATATATATATATATATATAAAACCAAAAGGGGGATTGACATTACAATCCCACCGGACTGAATTTTAGATGTAATTGTGGTGTGGTCCCATTGATTTGAATGCAGCATGGTCACACTGCCTACCAACCACAACATGCTATGTAAAATATGAAGCAACTGCAGCAATGTATATGGACTTGTTTGCTGGCCATGTTAAATTGCCAGTAGAGGTTAAGGGGTGGTAAAAACATTTTCCCTTCAGTTTTGTCTTCAGCAAGTGAAATGCTCAATCGGATTCAGGTCAGGTGATTGACTTGGCCATTGCAGAACATTCCACTTCTTTCCCCTAAAAACCTCTTTGGTTGCTTTTGCAGTCTGCTTTGGGTCATTGTCCATCTGCACTGTGAAGCGTCCAATGAGTTGTGAAGCATTTGGCTGAATATGAGCAGATAATATTCCCGAAACACTTCACAATTCATCCGGCTGCTTTTGTCAGCAGTCACATCATCAATAAATACAAGAGAAGCAGTTCCATTGGCAGCCATACATGCCCACGCCATGACACTACCACCACCATGATTCACTGATGAGGTGGTATGCTTAGGATCATGAGCAGTTCCTTTCCTTCTCCATACTCTTCTCTTCCCATCACTCTGGTACAAGTTGATGTCGGGTCTCATCTGTCCATAGGATGTTGTTCCAGAACTGTGAAGGCTTTTTTACATGTCGTTTGGCAAACTCTAATCTGGCCTTCCTGTTTTTGAGGCTCACCAATGGTTTCCATCTTGTGGTGAACCCTCTGTATTCACTCTGGTGAAGTCTTCTCTTGATTGTTGACTTTGACACTCATACACCTACCTCCTGGAGAGTGTTCTTGATCTGGCCAACTGTTGTGAAGGGGGTTTTCTTCACCAGGGAAAGAATTCTTCGGTCATCCACCACAGTTGTTTTCCGTGGTCTTCCGGGTCTTTTGGTGTTGCTGAGCTCACCGGTGCGTTCCTTCTTTTTAAGAATGTTCCAAACAGTTGTTTTGGCCACGCCTAATGTTTTTGCTATCTCTCTGATGGGTTTGTTTTGTTTTTTCAGCCTAATGATGGCTTCACTGATAGTGACAGCTCTTTGGATCTCATCTTGAGAGTTGACAGCAACAGATTCCAAATGCAAATAGCACACTTGAAATGAACTCTGGACCTTTTATCTGCTCATTGTAATTGGGATAATGAGGGAATAACACACACCTGTGGAACAGCTGAGAAGCCAATTGTCCCATTACTTTTGGTCCCTTAACAAGTGGGAGGCACATATGCAAACTGTTGTAATTCCTACACCGTTCACCTGATTTGGATGTAAATACCCTCAAATTAAAGCTGACAGTCTGCAGTTAAAGCACATCTTGTTAGTTTCATTTCAAATCCATTGTGGTGGTGTATAGAGCCAAAAATGTTAGAATTGTGTCCATGTCCCAATATTTTTTTATGGACCTGACTGTATGTATGTATGTGTATATATATATATATATATATATATATATATATATATTTTAGATACAGTGTTTAACAAACTAAATGCTAGTGTTACTTTTTTGTACAAAGTTAATTGTAACATTTTAAATAAAAATGAAGTTCTGGGTATAGAGGTCATTTTATTTCTTTAATTATATATATATATATATATATATATATTTTGGGGGTTTTTTCCTCTCTTTCTCCTGGATCTTCTCTGCGGCTGTCGGCTGATATTTATGTGTTTATATTCGGTGATATTATGTAATCGGCAGACAGGCCCTCCAGCCAGAGCGATGCCGCAGCTTCTAATATGTTCCGTCTCGTGGGAGATCCATGGCTGCATTGTAACCTCTGTGTCTCCAGCCTGCTTCTGGTGGCTTCCTATAGGTGGAATGTATAGTCGTGATCATTCACCATCAGATCTTTGCGTCCTCCGGGGTGGCTGGTAATCTGCACTGTGTCTGGTGAGGAGAATCAAATGTTTCCTATAAAGGCCTTGGACCATGCAAATTATGCTGCCATGCCTGAATATGTTCCCTTTGTTATGGATCCCTTTTCTATTGGAAAGGAAAGCAGTTTGTTTTATATATATATATATATATATATATATATATATGTACACTCTCTCTCTCTCTCTCTCTCTCTCTCTCTCTCTCTCTCTCTCTCTCTCTCTCTCTCTCAGAAGTGAGTCCCCCCCTCACATCTTTGTAAATATTTGATTCTCTCTTTTCATGTGACAACACTGAAGAAATGACACTTTGCTCCAATGTGACGTAGTCAGTGTACAGCGTGTATAACATGGAAATTTGCTGTCCCCTCAAAATAACTCAACACACTGCCATTAATGTCTAAATCGCTGGCAACAAAAGTGAGTCCACCCCTAAGTGACAAGGTCCAAATTGGGCCCAAAGTGTCTATATTTATAGTGGCCACCATTATTTTCCAGCACTGCCTTAACCCTCTTGGGCATGAAGTTCACCAGAGATTCACAGGTTGCCACTGGAATCCTCTTCCACTCCTCCATGACGTCATCATGGAGCTGGCGGATGTTAGAGACCTTGCGCTCCTCCACCTTCCGTCTTCCACTCCTCCATAACAACATCACGGAGCTGGTGGATGTTAGAGATCTTGCGCTCCTCCACCTTCCTTTGAGGATGTCCCACAGATGCTCAATAGGGTTTAGGTCTGGAGACACGCTTGGCCAGTCCATCACCTTTACCCTCAGCTTCTTTAGCAAGGCAGTGGTGGTCTTGGAGGTGTATTTGGGGTCGTTATGTTGGAATACTGCCCTGCGGCCCAGTCTCCGAAGGGAGGGGATCATGCTCTGCTTCAGTATGTCACAGTCCATGTTGGCATTCATGGTCCCCCGAATGAACTGTAGCCCCCAGTGCCGGCAGCACTCATGCAGCCCCAGACCATGACACTCCCACCACCATGGGGCCCCAGACCATGACACTCCCACCACCATGCTTGACTGTAGGCAAGACACACTTGTCTTTGTACTCCTCACCAGGTTGCTGCCACACACGCTTGACACCATCTGAACCAAATCAGTTGATCTTGGTGTCATCAGACCACAGGACGTGGTTCCAGTAATCCATGTTCTTAGTCTGCTTGTCTTCAGCAAACTGTTTGCAGCTTTCTTGTGGATCATCTTTAGAAGAGGCTTCCTTCTGGGACGACAGCCATGCAGACCAATGTGATGCAGTGTGCGGCGTATGGTCTGAGCACTGACCGGCTGACCCCCCCCCCCCCCCCCTTCACCCTCTGCAGCAATGCTGGCAGCACTCATACGTCTATTTCCCAAAGACAACCTCTGGATATGACGCTGAGCACGTGCACTCAACTTCTTTGGTGGACCATGGTGAGTCCTGTTCTGAGTGGAACCTGTCCTGTTACACCACTGTATGGTCTTGGCCACCGTGCTGCAGCTCAGTTTCAGGGTCTTGGAAATCTTCTTATAGCCTAGGCCATCTTTATGTAGAGCAACAATTCTTTTTTTCCAGATCCTCAGAGTTCTTTGCCATGAGGTGCCATGTTGAGCTTCCAGTGACCAGTATAAGAGAGTGAGAAAGAGAACACCAAATGTAACCCAACTGCTCCCCATTCACACCTGAGACCTTGTAACACTAACGAGTCACATGACATGGGAGGGAAAATGGCTAATTGGGCCCAATTTGGACCTTGTCACTTAAGGGTGGACTCACTTTTGTGCCAGCGGTTTAGACATTAATGGCGGTGTGTTGAGTTATTTTGAGGGGACAGCAAATTTACATGTTATACAAGCTGTACACTGACTGACTACGTCACATTGTAGCAAAGTGTCATTTCTTCAGTGTTGTCACATGAAAAGATAGAATCAAATATTAAACACCAATGTGAGGGGTGGACTCACTTCTGGGAGATACTAAATACACACACTATTGCCTAAAGTATTGGGCGGCACCTGCCTTTCCACGCACATGACCTTTAATGGCCCCCCAGTCTTAGTCCGTAGGGTTCAATATTGAGTTGGCCCCGCCCTTTGCAGCTATAACAGCTTCACCTCTTCTGGGAAGGCCGTCCACAAGGTTTAGGAGGGTGTCTATGGGAAGGTTGGACCATTCTTCCAGAAGCACATTTGTCAGGTCAGGCACTGATGTCGGGGGAGGAGGCTGGCTCGCAGTCTCTGCTCTAATTCATCCCAAAGGTGTTCTATGGGGTTGAGGTCAGGACTCTGTGCAGGCCAGTCAAGTTCCTCCACCCCAAACTGGCTCCTCCATGTCTTTATGGACCTTGCTTTGTGCACTGGTGGGCAGTCATGTTGGAACAGGAAGGGGCCATCCCCAAACTCTTCCCAGAAAGTTGGGAGCATGAAATTTGTCTAAAATGTCTTGGTATGCTGACGCCCTAAGAGTTCCCTTTACTGAAACTAGAGGGCCAAGCCCACCCCTAAAGAACAACCTCACACCATAATCCCCCCTCCACCAAACTTTACACTTGGCACAATGCAGGCAGGCAAGTACCTGGCAACTGTCAAACCCAGACACGTCCATCAGATTGCCAGACAGAGAAGCGTGATTGGTCACTCCAGAGAACATGTCTCCACCCTTCTAGAGTCCAGTGGCGGCGTGCTTTACACCACGACATCCGATGCTTTGCATTGCACTTGGTGATGGAAGGCTTGGATGCAGCTGCTCGGCCATGGAAACCCATTCCATGAAGCTCTCTACACACTGTTGTTGGGCTCATCTGAAGGCCACACCAAGTTTGGAGGTCTTTAGCTATTGACTCTGCAGACAGTTGGCGACTTCTGCGCACTGTGCGCTTCAGCATGCGCTGACCCGCCCTGTCATGTGACGTGGCCTACCACTTGGTGGCTGAGTGGCTGTTGTTCCCAGTTGCTTCCACTTTGTTATAATCCCACTAACAGTTGAGCGTGGAATATTTAGTAGCCAGGAAATGTCACGGATGGACTTATTGCCCAGGTGGCCACCTATCACGGGACCACGCTTGGAGTCACTGAGCTCCTGAGAGCGACCCATTCTTTCACCAATGTTTGTAGAAGCCGTCTGCATGCCTAGGGGATGATTGTATACACCTGTGTCCATGGAGGGGATTGGAACACCTGAATCACATGATTTGGTGGGGCGGGCCAGATACTTTTGGCAATATAGTATGTGTGTGTGTATATATATATATATATATATTAAAAAGCATTTTTTTTTTTTTTTTTTTTTAGAAAGTGATCAGCCTATATATAGGGTCAGTCCCTGTAAAAAGTGACATTTTCATTTATAGGTGGGGTGAGTCAACTCCTGGATTATTAAGTTTTGGATACTCTCAGCAGTGAGCTCTCCTCGTCATTATACCTTACTATGATCTTTGGATGTTCTTGTCCACTTTTCTGTGTCCCAACTACGGCTCTTACATTCTTCATAATATTAAATAAGTAGGAATCTATCAGAGATGGTGGGAACCCCTCATAATGGGCACAGCGGGTTTACAGACCCGGGAACTCAGCACAGGGATGGTGGGAACCCCTCATAATGGGCACAGTGGGTGTACAGACCCTAGGAATCAATGCAGAAATTATGGAAAACTCTTATAATGGAGACCCATTTTTGGTATTCAGTGGGGGAAAATACTGCTCTATTGTTTGTGTCAGCAAAAGTAATAGTGCCCCATCATCGGAGTCAGTGGGAGGAATAGTGCCCCATCATCGGAGTCAGTGGGAGGAATAGTGCCCCGTCATTGGTGTCAGTGGGAGGAATAGTGCCCCGTCATTGGTGTCAGTGGGAGAAATAGTGCCCCGTCATTGGTGTCAGTGGGAGGAATAGTGCCCCATCATTGGTGTCAGTGGGAGGAATAGTGCCCCGTCATTGGTGTCAGTGGGAGGAATAGTGCCCCATCATTGGTGTCAGTGGGAGGAATAGTGTCCCCGTCATTGGTATCAGTGGGAGGAATAGTGCCCCATCATTGGTGTCAGCGGGAGGAATAGTGCCCCATCCTTGGTGTCAGCGGGAGGAATAGTGCCCCGTCATTGGTGTCAGCAGGTGGAATAGTGCCCCATCATTGGTGTCAGTGGGAGGAATAGTGCCCCATCATTGGTGTCAGTGGGAGGAATAGTGCCCCATCATTGGTATCAGTGGGAGGAATAGTGCCCCATCATTGCTGTCAGTGGAAGGAATAGTACCCCATCATTGGTGTCAGTGGGAGGAATAGTGCCCCATCATTTGGTGTCAGTGGGGGGAATAGTGCCCCATCATTGGTGTCAGTGGGGGAATAGTGACCCATCATTGGTGTCAGTGGGAGGAATAGTGCCCCATCATTGGTGTCAGTGGGAGGAATAGTGCCCCATCATTGGTGTCAGTGGGAGGAATAGTGCCCCATCATTGGTGTCAGTGGGGGGAATAGTGACCCATCATTGGTATCAGTGGGAGGAATAGTGCCCCATCATTGGTGTCAGTGGGGGGAATAGTGACCCATCATTGGTGTCAGTGGGAGGAATAGTGCCCCATCATTGGTATCAGTGGAAGGAATAGTACCCCATCATTGGTGTCAGTGGAAGGAATAGTGCCCCATCATTGGTGTCAGTGGGAGGAATAGTGCCCCATCATTGGTGTCAGTGGGAGGAATAGTGCCCCATCATTGGTGTCAGTGGGAGGAATAGTGCCCCATCATTGGTGTCAGCGGGAGGAATAGTGCCCCGTCCTTGGTGTCAGCGGGAGGAATAGTGCCCCGTCCTTGGTGTCAGCGGGAGGAATAGTGCCCCGTCCTTGGTGTCAGCGGGAGGAATAGTGCCCCGTCCTTGGTGTCAGCGGGAGGAATAGTGCCCCGTCCTTGGTGTCAGCGGGAGGAATAGTGCCCCGTCATTGGTGTCAGCGGGAGGAATAGTGCCCCGTCATTGGTGTGAGCGGGAGGAATAGTGCCCCGTCATTGGTGTCAGCGGGAGGAATAGTGCCCCGTCATTGGTGTCAGCGGGAGGAATAGTGCCCCATCATTGGTATCAGCGGGAGGAATAGTGCCCCATCATTGGTATCAGTGGGAGGAATAGTGCCCCATCATTGGTGTCAGTGGGAGGAATAGTGCCCATCATTGGTGTCAGTGGGAGGAATAGTGCCCCATCATTGGTGTCAGTGGGAGGAATAGTGCCCCATCATTGGTATCAGTGGGAGGAATAGTGCCCCATCATTGGTGTCAGTGGGAGGAATAGTGCCCCATCATTGGTGTCAGTGGGAGGAATAGTGTCCCATCATTGGTGTCAGTGGGAGGAATAGTGTCCCATCATTGGTGTCAGTGGGAGGAAGGGCTAGATAAAGGCTCTGGAAGGGCCGCAGTTTGGAGAACACTGCCTTAGTGCATTGGGATGGCATGTAAGAGAATGAACTGGTCATGTGAATTATCGCAACCCAACAGGGTATTTGAGCCCTAAATGAAAAGCTTTGGAATTGCTCAGACTAGACGAGAGAAAAGGGGCCTCTCCTTGCCTCGTCTTTTTTTTCTTTTTTTTTTTTTCTTTGCCAAAGATGCTGTTTGCATTTCATAGTTACATAGTTAGTCTGGCTGAAACAAGAATTTTTTATCCATATTTTTACATGCTGTAGGCAACCTGAGAGCCGCAGGACTACAAGTTCCATCATGCCTCTGCAAGTCATAGCTGTAACTGTCAGTTTTGTCATCTTTGCAATGCCTCATGGGAAATGTAGTTCCACAACAACTAGAGAGCCGCAGGTTGCCCACCCCTGGTATAGAGAACCGCAGGTTGCCCACCCCCTGGTATAGAGAGCCGCAGCCGCAGGTTGCCGCAGGTTGCCCACCCGCAGGTGGTGGTATAGAGAGCCGCAGGTTGCCCACCCCTGGTATAGAGAGCCGCAGGTTGCCCACCCCTGGTATAGAGAGCCCAGGTATAGAGAGCCGCAGGTTGCCCACCCCTGGTATAGAGAGCCGCAGGTTGCCCACCCCTGGTATAGAGAGCCGCAGGTTGCCTACCCCTGTGTAGGTAGAACCAAGGCACCTGTAATGTTACCCGTGTGCATGAATCCATTCCTGACGTTGAAATCCCCAGCAACTGTTTGTTTCATTTGTATCTTCTGTCATAAAAGTTATTGACTTTCTCTTGACTGAGATGATATCATCCGTCTGCTGCAGACTGGAGTTAGCATTTTCTCAGTTTCCTCTCCCCCCAGTGATCAGACTGTACATTGTAACTTTGCAGCAAGCCGCAAGGCGAACGACTGCAGAAGGGGCTGATCTGTGTCAGATATTTTGTGAACACAGCCAGGCAACCAGGATTTACACAATTGTGTCCTCTCTGAGCCGGCATCCCAGTTCAGGAAATAGATGCCTGAACAAAGATGGCTTTGACCTTCCATAAACGTTGCAATATCTCGTGTGCGCACTTATTTTAAACGCACGGTAATTTCACAGCATGGAGAGCGGCTTTTAAGTGTGGTGGAAGGTGAGGCGAGCCCAGCAGGGAGCCCCCCCCTCCCCCGCCATCTTTCAAGTGTCACCCTAACTCCTCGAAGTGGAGGCTTCCCGCTGCGCCGCACTTTCCTCCTCTCCAAACCCGAAATAGAAGTAGGTTTTGTTTATTCCCGCCAAGTTAAATTCCAGGAGAAAATCTAAAAATTGCCGTTTAATCCGGAGCTTTTCAACGCAGGTCTTCAAATGCTTCCTGCGGGTCACGTTTAATGGATTGCCTCAACTCAGAGCAGTCTTAGCAATTATGGATCGCGGAATACCGATTAAATGGTGCGCAAAACTGAAGAAGAAAAAAATGGTAAGTAGAGATTACCTGTTGTAAAGCCCCTTCATATGAACCAGTGGTCTCCAAATTGCGTCCCTGGGGCTGGATTCGGCCCTTTGCTTTTTTTATATCTGGCCCTTGGGGCACTATTCCATCCACTGACACCAACAGAGGGGCATAATTCCTCCCAATGACCCCAGGAAAGAAGCACAATTCCTCCCATTGAGACCAGCGATGGGGCGCTGCTCCTCCCACTGAAACAAGCGATGGGGCGCTGCTCCTCCCGCTGAGGCCATCGATGGGGCGCTGCTCCTCCCGCTGAGGCCAGCGCCGGGGCGCCGCTCCTCCGGCTGAGGCCAGCGACGGGGCGCCGCTCCTCCGGCTGAGGCCAGCGACGGGGCGCCGCTCCTCCGGCTGAGGCCAGCGACGGGGCGCCGCTCCTCCGGCTGAGGCCAGCGACGGGGCGCCGCTCCTCCGGCTGAGGAGGCCAGCGACGGGGCGCCGCTCCTCCTCCGGCTGAGGCCAGCGACGGGGCGCCGCTCCTCCGGCTGAGGAGGCAGCGACGGGGCGCCGCTCCTCCGGCTGAGGCGACGGGGCGCCGCTCCTCCGCGACGGGGCGCCGCTCCTCCGGCTGAGACGGCCAGCGACGGGGCGCCGCTCCTCCGGCTGAGACGGCCAGCGACGGGGCGCCGCTCCTCCGGCTGAGACGGCCAGCGACGGGGCGCCGCTCCTCCGGCTGAGACGGCCAGCGACGGGGCGCCGCTCCTCCGGCTGAGACGGCCAGCGACGGGGCGCCGCTCCTCCGGCTGAGACGGCCAGCGACGGGGCGCCGCTCCTCCGGCTGAGACGGCCAGCGACGGGGCGCCGCTCCTCCGGCTGAGACGGCCAGCGACGGGGCGCCGCTCCTCCGGCTGAGACGGCCAGCGACGGGGCGCCGCTCCTCCGGCTGAGACGGCCAGCGACGGGGCGCCGCTCCTCCGGCTGAGACGGCCAGCGACGGGGCGCCGCTCCTCCGGCTGAGGCGCGACGGGGCGCCGCTCCTCCGGCTGAGGCGGCCAGCGACGGGGCGCCGCTCCTCCGGCTGAGGCGGCCAGCGACGGGGCGCCGCTCCTCCGGCTGAGGCGGCCAGCGACGGGGCGCCGCTCCTCCGGCTGAGGCGGCCAGCGACGGGGCGCCGCTCCTCCGGCTGAGGCGGCCAGCGACGGGCTCCTCCGGCTGAGGCGGCGCGCTCCCTCCGGCTGAGGCGGCCAGCGACGGGGCGCCGCTCCTCCGCTGAGGCGGCCAGCCGGGGCGCCGCTCCTCCGGCTGAGGCGGCCAGCGACGGGGCGCCGCTCCTC